CAAATGCTCATTTTCTCGTCAAGTTTAACGCCTGGACGAGTCAAATGCTCTTGAATCGTACTAATCTGAAAGATTCCTGCGTGTCTTAAATTTGGTAAGACCTCTATCCTCTAACCGTGCTGTAGCGCACGGATGCACGCTCTTAGCGAGGAATTTGATGCCACCGAACTTCGGCGAGCTCGAGCTTCTTTGGAAACGATAGCTCTTCGCGCTCTCGAGTTCGGACCTGATTAATTACGAAGTGCGTCTACTACGAGTGAGCGAGTGACTTATTTGCATATCCCTGTCCCTGCAATAACTCGTGGTACGCTCGCGCGTACCCACGAGTTAAAAAAGGTGTTCTGCAGGAAATTTGGATAACCTTCTATGAAAGTGTTGCAAATCAAGGTAGGCAGACTTAAGCTGTTCGGATGTTCACTGAAACTGCTGGCGAATGTGCAATGCACTTCGACTCGGAAGCGAGTGTGTAACTGATACCGGCTGGCTATTTCACCGATTTGGAGAAGAAGGAGCACAAATGTTTAAAAACGTCTACAGTCTTTATTCTGCATTTTTCACCGAGGCTGCATTTTACTCTCAGTCTGCAGTCTGCATTTTACACTCAGTATGCATTTTACCCCTGGTCCGCAGTCTGCAGTCTGCAGTCTGCAGTCCGCAGTCTGCGTTTTACACTGACCGTTTCTACAAAACCCGTTTTTACGGCCTTTGAATGTGATCATATGTGCTTTATAAGTGTAATCTGAACAGTAGGAGGCTTTTAGTGTCATTTGCTAATGATTTACTGTAAAATCCAGGCAAAAGGACGTAGGTTAGGTAATTAGCATTGATCCATGCTCATATTTAGCGATATACCGCGAGTACAGTTGAAGCAAACGGTAAATCCAGTACATTTACAGGAACCGATTTAATCGGCTCCTGACATTTACTATGAAACTACAATACAGTCAGGTTTCACAAACAGATTGTGGACAGATTGTGTGGGTGTCCTGAACATACACGATGGTTGCTAATGAGGGCGTTAAAACACAACTTTAAGTTTTTATTGAGATGATTCAGATACGGTCAATTTCTTGGTCCTTAATTCTTGCGATCTACGTCCCAATATTCTGAGGGTACAAAATTTGGATTGGCTTAATGGTTGGAAATGTTAGACTTTGGTCAGCAAAAACCTTTGTGTCGGAGGAGAGTAACATGAGACTTGAGAAATGGAGGGCCACTTAAAATGCTTTCAATAGCAAAACTGATACAAATAAAGGTACTATTGCATCAGTTTTCGAATTAAATGTTTAATTTACATTACATGTGCCTTTTTCGGTAAATTTTGGATCAAAAATAAACAAGTGAGTTTCATAGTGAATTATTAATAATCATTTAACTGACAACTGACAAGAAGCTTAAAATTTAACTGACAACTGAAAAATGGCCAAAATTTCACTGACAACTGACATTTGTATCCCCCACCCCCGCCAAAAGCTGAAATGTCAATGTTGCAGCACGTGATGTTACACGAAGGCCTAGTCGTTTTGTGGATTTCCGCTGACTAATGCGTTCGCAGCTACGTCTTCTGCATTTTCGCAAGTTCTTCAAGTTCTTGTATTTCGATTATTTATCTCTTTCGAAATACGACAGAAACTTAGTCCGAGCTTGCTTTTTGCAAGTTTCTAAGCTAATGATTTCAAGCTAGAGAGTTAGACAAAGATATGGATCCTCTTGGAGTGACAGCACCAATTGTGGATGCCCTTTCTCTTCCAAGATGGAGTACAACTCCAGTTCCGTCTTACGAAATCATGTCACAGCCGTCAAATAGCAGGAGGACCGAAAATCCATTCCCTGTTCGACAAGACCTAAACAGTAAAGTAGCGCTTTGGTGAGAGCTTATGTTCGTTGTCTTAGATAAATATGGGTAGCTTATATGGTACGCTGTGTTTTTATGCTAATTTTGCACACAGGTAAACTTCCCACAGCGAGATCTAATAACTTTATAGCTCACTTTGTTTCTTAGTGAACCATTAGTTTTCTTTAGTTTAGTATTGGTTTTATAAATTTACCGGGTAATCAGAGTAATTCAATAGAGAAAGTTATTTCTATCATTTTGACAGCTATTGCACATGTACAGTATATTAAATGGTATAAGCCCTTGATTTTACAATTACTCGAGGTTGCATAGCACGGAGAGTCGTAATGTGTAAGCTGTTTTCTTTTCTTCTTAATTATTAAACGAGGGGAGTCATGGTCCCAGGTGTTCTTAGCTGAGACCGTGGAAACTGGGGATAAGAATCGTGACGACTTTCATGTTACGCAAATGCAACGTGTGATGAGCATGNTTGTGGATTTCCGCTGACTAATGCGTTCGCAGCTACGTCTTCTGCATTTTCGCAAGTTCTTCAAGTTCTTGTATTTCGATTATTTATCTCTTTCGAAATACGACAGAAACTTAGTCCGAGCTTGCTTTTTGCAAGTTTCTAAGCTAATGATTTCAAGCTAGAGAGTTAGACAAAGATATGGATCCTCTTGGAGTGACAGCACCAATTGTGGATGCCCTTTCTCTTCCAAGATGGAGTACAACTCCAGTTCCGTCTTACGAAATCATGTCACAGCCGTCAAATAGCAGGAGGACCGAAAATCCATTCCCTGTTCGACAATACCTAAACAGTAAAGTAGCGCTTTGGTGAGAGCTTATGTTCGTTGTCTTAGATAAATATGGGTAGCTTATATGGTACGCTGTGTTTTTATGCTAATTTTGCACACAGGTAAACTTCCCACAGCGAGATCTAATAACTTTATAGCTCACTTTGTTTCTTAGTGAACCATTAGTTTTCTTTAGTTTAGTATTGGTTTTATAAATTTACCGGGTAATCAGAGTAATTCAATAGAGAAAGTTATTTCTATCATTTTGACAGCTATTGCACATGTACAGTATATTAAATGGTATAAGCCCTTGATTTTACAATTACTCGAGGTTGCATAGCACGGAGAGTCGTAATGTGTAAGCTGTTTTCTTTTCTTCTTAATTATTAAACGAGGGGAGTCATGGTCCCAGGTGTTCTTAGCTGAGACCGTGGAAACTGGGGATAAGAATCGTGACGACTTTCATGTTACGCAAATGCAACGTGTGATGAGCATGTGGTTTATTTTCAGGGATAATTGAAGTTACCTGCCTAGTTGAACATGTTTTGGCTTTTTGGCAATGATGAAATTTTCCCCGAATCAAGGCCCTTGATTTTCATGTCTTCATATACGCGTATTAAAAAGTAAATATTCTGGAGAATACTTGACCAAAATCCAGTTTCGCGGTGTATTGAGGCGTTACCTTTCTCAGAATATTGACACAATCACTGGAATACTGTGGTGAAATAGATTCGATATTGCAGATTCAACTGTAACCTGAGATCAGGCCCAATTTGAGCGGTTCTCATACATTCTCTTAACGGCTACCGCTGAAATTGGGCCTGATCCAAACTCATTCACGTTTGTGCTCGTTAGGGCCAGATTTTGGCCGTAATGCTGATTGGCTGTTAGAACAATGCCACAAGATCTGATTGGCTGTCGGAAACACTGGAAGTTGAAAGCGCTTATTCCTCGCGTGGTTGTTTTCGTGAATGATCCGTCGTTGGCGGAGAGAAGGATCAATTTTGCTGTCTTTTTTATTGTTTTATGGTCTCATGGTAGGAAAATTTTTTATGCCTGAATATGTGCCATAGAAATTCAAAAAATTCATATGGTTGTTCATATCTTCTCAGGATTTGCTTTATTTACGGAAAGTGAGTGTATCGCGGAGTTGAATCCCTCTGCAAGTTGTTGACCGCTAACAAGTTGCCTTTTGATTTACCAACAAATGGGTGCAAATCAAAATAATGTCCATCTTAAAGCTGGTTTCATTTGAAAGTTTAGCCGGGAATGACTTCTCTGAACGGGGTACGCAAGCGGAGGCTCACTGCAAAAGAAACCTCAATCGCCAACTGTGAAGTATTAGACGAAAAATATCGCATCGCTGTTCAAGGAATTTTCAGTGTTAACAGACTGGTTGTATACCTTCGCTTTTTGTAAAAAATAAACCAGGAAAACTGGTGTCCTCGCTCGTTGGCTGTTTGCTTTTGTTTTTAAAGATTTATGTACCGAAAATTGGGGGAAATTGCAGAGGAAAATATTAAGGCAAAGGAAAAATGGAAATTCAGTATTTTAAATGCGAGCAAATAATAAAACTAGAAGAGCATTGTGTCGCCATCTTTTCGAAAACTTTTTACCTTCTACGCCAACAGAAATAACCTTCAAGATCTCCCTTAATCTTGCAAGGAGTTAAATCTGATTGTGCTGACTGTTTTATTTTTAGCTGAAAAAATTAACAGATAAAAGCTATTTTTTAAGTCAGCCAGTCTGCATTTTTCCCACGCGTGAAAAATTTGCATACTAGAAAAACAAGCAACAGAAGTAATTTTGGTTGGCTGATTCGGCAAATGTCAATCAATCAAAAAAGTGGGTGGCAGGCGTTTCGTAGAAGGTTTGTATCAGGCTCTCTTTTCGTTTCACCGTGCCCGCCAGAATGTTATTAAAAAGCGAAACGAAAATAGAGCCTGATCTCAGGTTAATTCAACTGGCGCACGCTGCTGAAGCCAATAATTTCCCGCCAATCACACAGTTACACATAAACCCTTGCTGTTGGCTATAAGTGCGACACATGTGACATTCCACTTATAAAGTGCATCTGCACAGGTGCTCAGCTTTGAGATATTACCTTGTTTGGAGCATGACTAAATTTAAAAGTACAGTAAGTTGGAAGATTTTATGCACAACCACCCTTGAGCTGCAGTATCAAGATCTTAACACTGTTAAGTGGTCTGCATGTTTTTAATAACACATGTTTGGTATTTCCAGGTCGGGTGATATAACTAAACTAAACACCATAACGATAGTAAATACAACAAATGAATCCCTCAGTAGCAAAGGCATATTGAGTGAAAGGATCCACAGAGCTGCTGGTCCAGAGTTGTTACATGAGTGTAGATCACAGTTACTTGGTATGAACATAGTTTCCTAGATAAATAATTATTGTTATTATAGTATAGTTAAATCAAGTTTTTTGGAGTCCAGTTTTCCCAACACACCATAAGCATACATTTGAGGAATACCATATACCACCCTGTTTATGGTCAAAACATTGGAAGGATTTCTATTACACTCAGGGCTGCCATTAAGATTTTGAATTGTCAGGTTAATACACAAGAAGGTGGGGAATTAAGCAACTGGCAATTTCTTTTGGTTCTATATTTTTAATAGCCAGGGGAAATCCCCAGCCCCATCCTTAAATAACAACCCTGATTACCTCTAGGCCATAAAGTGTTACAAGGGAGGAACTCTCACTAGTCTCTCAAACTTCTAGGTAGTAATTTGCTCCAACACTAACTGCCCTCTCACAGTCAAAAACTGGTTTTTCCCCACCATGTTTGAAACTCCTGACAATTTGAACTGATTTGTTTTTCCGAAGATGGTTCTAAAATTGTGGATTCCGCCATGCGGTCTTAGTATTCCATACCAGAATACCACAGCTGTCATAGACTACGAGTAGTCCCCCATTTTTCCTCAGAGATAGTAGAGCCTGCGAAACAGGAGCACGCGTGAAAATCACCCCACGTGAGAAAAGGCGACACGCGGCGGGGAGAGAGAAAAATGAGGGACTACAGACAAAGCCCAAGCTTTTGACCCTTCACAGCTGACTGATTTTGGAGTGTGAAGTTCATATCCCCTTCCAAATCAATTAAGTACACCCAATGGGATTCCTTCCCTTATTGAGCTGTCATTGCTCTTGTCATCGGTAATTATTGCAAGCAAAAGAAAACCCAGATGCTAATTTTCTTTATGGCTGTTTCGCAAGAAGAACTTGATAGTGTAGGCAACACACGACTTTAACTCATGGCAAAATGCTGCTTGTTCCAATGAATTTTTTTTCTCTGACGGGTAGATTGTTCTCTGGAGGAAAACGTTTTGACTGAGCAAATGTGATTTTTGCCCCTTATTTCATACTGAGAGGTCGTGACATGCATATTAATCTTCTGCGGTTATTGTTTATGGTCGGCATGATTTGCCCTCTGATGCAAGAGCATTTTCTTTGACCTCTTTTGAAAAGTAACGTTCTTGAATGCTGCTAGATAAGGGTTTTGGGTTGTTTAATTTAAATTGTGATTGTGTCGAGTGTTGATAACGGCTGGCGCGTTTTTGACAGATGTTGACAGATTTCCATGGAGGAGCCAATCAGAGTTTTGCATTGTGAGAGCAACATATTAGTTCAAAAGCTTGGGCTTTGTCTGTAGTCCCTCATTTTTCGCTCTCCCCGCCGCGTGTCGCCTTTTCTCATGTGGGGTGATTTTCATGCGCGCTCGCGTTTCGCCACTCTACTATCCCTGAGGAAAAATGGGGGACTACTCGTAGTCTACACCAGTCAATGGACAGTGTAGTTTCTTTTTCTGTACAAAATTTGTTTTAAAAAAAGTGAAAAATGGTAACAGAAATGCACTGTAGTAGTCAAAACTGTTTATTATTTTTTCTAGGTTGTAGGACTGGAGAGGCTAAAATATCAAAAGGATATAGTTTACCAGCTAGGTGAGTGAGTTGATAGGGTGGTACCAGAGGCTAATTTGGGCATTTTTTTGTCAGTTTTAGCTGTAAGAAAGTATCAAAAGCATTAATATTTTAATGAAAATAAAGTGAAATGTTTGGATGCAAGTCATAAGTGAATGGGGATTAAAAAATTACATCTTCTTTCGCATAACTATTAAGGAGTTCGTGGAATTTTTGAAAAGTTAGGGTGTGGTTGAAATTGCCATTTTGGATAAAATTGCCTCTAAATTCAAAAGGATTACGTGTAAATATTCTTCAAAATAAAAAGACACACATGTACTATAGATCCATAAAAGAAAGATTTACAGAGCAGT